CCTCCGTAAGCAGGCGCAGCGCCGAGCAGTTTGACGGCTTTGGAGACGGGAGAGACACAGATAGCGTTCGAGGCGATTGAAAATTTAAGCCGATTCTAGCTTAAAACCGCTTGGGCTGACGCCCGGTTGCTCGAACAGTTTCGAGACCTCGAGCAGGGATTCTGCCGGCAGACGTTCGAACATGTTCACGCATCAAGCAGCTCGAGCTCCTTCCTCCTTGTTTGGGTTTAAGCAGGTTGAGTTACAAGCTGCTTGAGCTGTCCACCAAGTTCGAACGCTGTAATATTACACTGCGATAACGAGCGCGTAGAGTAGATGTCCCAATTTCTGTGCTTTGAACGTAATTTTTGCATTGCTGAAGCTGTTATTAAATGCTCCACTTTTGATTAAAAATATACTTCGCGCGGTTTTTTCTATAGGTGACAACAATAGTTAAACTTGACACTCCAACAAAATTTTGCGTTCGATAACAACTTTCGTTGTGCTCAACTCCTCTTTTTATAATGAATAGAACACGATGTGAAAATTGCGGCAACCCTTTTCCAACAGTGTATTCTTATAACACGATTTTCTTCCAGCACAGCTCCTATTGGTAGTGGGAATGTTTCCGTCGCGTCACGCATTTTGTTGGCATAAGCAGGACGTTCACCTTGCACGTATACTGTGTAGTGTATAGTAATGCGTAGCTTGCCCTTACTAAAAACTAAATCAGTAGACGATTACTCCTTTACAAATTTAAACGTATAACGACTCCCATTAATATTCGTATACTTTTTAAAACGCAATAACTTTTTTAAAACTGGACTAAACGATTCGAATTTTCTTTGCGTATTATACTAGGCAACGACTAAACTACTTTGCTGTTACATGGAATGACAAAACAAAATAAAAAGTTCTCGTTGTTTAACTTTTTCATCTGAGCCTGAAACGAAAATTTGAAAACCTTGAATATAACACAATTCTTGTTGGTTAATATTACTTAATATTGCTTATTAGTTAATAATGTTTAATATTACTTTTTAGTTAATATTATTTTGTTAATATTATTATTTACAATACGTTATTTACTTCCAATAGCACATTTTAGTCTAACAGAACATCCAAAATAAATTACAGAGCAATGCGTTGATTTTCGAGTTTACATATTTATAAATTTAACATTCGATTATTTAGCACTCAAATTTGGATTATGTTGTAATCTGGTGTAGAGAGTTTCTCTCAGCGTCGAGAAACCGCTACAGCAGTGAGTTCTGTACACGGAACAATCCTAAAAGTTCATATAAACGTGTGCTCTGTTCGACCTTGTTTTCGAGTAATAACGAGTTTCTTCCTTAACGCATTGTGCTTGCTTACCTTCACAAGAGATGTTCGAAATGAACTCCTTGCATCTGAACGCACAAGCTTGGAGACGTTTTACTATTGACTGTCTTAACCTCTCCATTTCTGCAGATATTGTTCGGATATTTCGGTAGCTTTGTTCGATCCTCACGCAAAACAATTTCGTTCCTATCAAAGGGCATTCTGTACATGAGGGATTTCAAATAACTTCACAAGTAATACGTGAGATGCTACGACAAAGTGATTACGGGATTAGAATACAAAAGTCATAATTAGACTACGGATTTTATGCACTTATGACAAGAACGAGTAGGTTAAATACAAAATTGTAACGACACATTACAAGAATTCAAAGATATTGTTCCATTGTTATCAACTTATTACAATTGTTAAAAGATGTAAGGCCTGTTCAAATAACTTATGTGTCCTATAATTAACTTGGACAATTTTTATTTTGCACAAAGACCCGTAATCTAATCAGAATTAGATATTGAGTTTCGTTTTAAAATTTTTTTAAATTCTAATCTAAATACACTCGGTAAAACGATAATGTTTGAACCACTTTTTAAAATGCGGTAATTATTTCAAAAGTTGACCGAATGATTTGAATTATTTTAAGATGTGAGAGCGACTAGTTTGTTAGAGAATGTGTAAAAAGATTTTTGAAAAAATTAAAATTGGTTAAAATCACAAAAAATATTATGTTTTTTCAACTTTTTTATCGAATGTTATTAATCATAAACCGTAGCAACCTGTTTATATAGGATCTTTAATTGTTTGCATATAACAACGCATGCCGATTTCGATTACATTTTTTAGCATGCATATAAATCACGGAGGCCTACAAAACGCTTTGTTTAAATTTTCGTTACAGGCTCAGCTAAAACAGTTTATAGACTTAACTTTTTTATTATTTATTCGTTCTTTTTGCTATCCCAGCGAACTGTAATTTTTGCAGAATTCGTTTTGCACATTACTTAATAATAATTTAGTCGTTCTATCTCTACATTACTAAGTCTACGTCCTTAGGTAGAATTATGTGAACTGTTTCTATATTCCGATAGGATTGTTTCGGCATAAATGTTGCTAGAACTTTATAAATAAGGTCATATAGTAGTGTGTATTTTCATATGAATTTTTTTCCACTACCAAAGTGGTTATCCGAAACTATGATACTATCCTATATATATTTCAGATAACTTGGTTAAAAATCCAATAGCTCGGGTAACGTGAAACTGTAATATTAAAGTTTCATTTCACGTAAAACAATGCAGTAATAAAAGGTTTAATGTTTTGCATTTAGGCTTACCATATGACGTATTTATGTAGTCTCTCTTTTGTAGATGATATTTCAATGTATTTCATTAGATCAGATTATTTTGACATTAGTATTTAGTATGAAATGTTACTTTGAAATTACTTTTAAATCTAAATTGATCATTGATTTCCACAATGTTTACTTTAAAAATCATTCGATGCTGACTCGATGAAGTTCGATATTATTGAATTTTGTATCTGTTAAATAACATTCCAATAATTGGAATAACTGATATAGCACCTGGAATTTGCGCAGCAGTGACAATGTTTCGTGTTTTGTAAAAATTTTTCGTTTTCTCAGTCGAAAATAAGATTGACATGGTTACTCTTTCTGGTTTTCTTTATTATATCAAAAAGGCATTTTCTATTTCGAGCTTCAGTTCGATTTTCTCTCACACCGTTAGCTTTAAAAATAAAATAAAAGGCGTTCGAAAAATTGGTATATGACTGGCTTTTCGCATGCTTCAAACTAGAACGCATATATTTAAACATTTATAATGACCTAAAAATATAAATGATTTCATATCAAAGAATTACAAATATAAACTCTTATTTGATTCCAGTTTCCATTATTGATGCAGGGAATTTTTATGTTGCATAATGATCCACAATCTTGCTATGTTGCTTTATCTAATATTTGCAGAACGCCCTAACAAGGTGTGCTTGGAGATTTGAGGACATTGCAGGTGCGAGATAATGCCTTGATTTTTTAGCGGTTTTTCCATGAATCCTGTTGTATTTGCCTTCGTCTACGAAATTTTAAAAAATAGAATTAAAGCTTTTGTCATAGAAATTTTTCAAAAGCTAAATATGTTTATAATTATTTTCAATATTTAATGAAGTAAATTATAAAATATATATATATAATATAATATAATATATTATAAAATATATAATATAATATATATATATATATATATATATATATATATATATATATATATATATATTGTNCGATAGGATTGTTTCGGCATAAATGTTGCTAGAACTTTATAAATAAGGTCATATAGTAGTGTGTATTTTCATATGAATTTTTTTCCACTACCAAAGTGGTTATCCGAAACTATGATACTATCCTATATATATTTCAGATAACTTGGTTAAAAATCCAATAGCTCGGGTAACGTGAAACTGTAATATTAAAGTTTCATTTCACGTAAAACAATGCAGTAATAAAAGGTTTAATGTTTTGCATTTAGGCTTACCATATGACGTATTTATGTAGTCTCTCTTTTGTAGATGATATTTCAATGTATTTCATTAGATCAGATTATTTTGACATTAGTATTTAGTATGAAATGTTACTTTGAAATTACTTTTAAATCTAAATTGATCATTGATTTCCACAATGTTTACTTTAAAAATCATTCGATGCTGACTCGATGAAGTTCGATATTATTGAATTTTGTATCTGTTAAATAACATTCCAATAATTGGAATAACTGATATAGCACCTGGAATTTGCGCAGCAGTGACAATGTTTCGTGTTTTGTAAAAATTTTTCGTTTTCTCAGTCGAAAATAAGATTGACATGGTTACTCTTTCTGGTTTTCTTTATTATATCAAAAAGGCATTTTCTATTTCGAGCTTCAGTTCGATTTTCTCTCACACCGTTAGCTTTAAAAATAAAATAAAAGGCGTTCGAAAAATTGGTATATGACTGGCTTTTCGCATGCTTCAAACTAGAACGCATATATTTAAACATTTATAATGACCTAAAAATATAAATGATTTCATATCAAAGAATTACAAATATAAACTCTTATTTGATTCCAGTTTCCATTATTGATGCAGGGAATTTTTATGTTGCATAATGATCCACAATCTTGCTATGTTGCTTTATCTAATATTTGCAGAACGCCCTAACAAGGTGTGCTTGGAGATTTGAGGACATTGCAGGTGCGAGATAATGCCTTGATTTTTTAGCGGTTTTTCCATGAATCCTGTTGTATTTGCCTTCGTCTACGAAATTTTAAAAAATAGAATTAAAGCTTTTGTCATAGAAATTTTTCAAAAGCTAAATATGTTTATAATTATTTTCAATATTTAATGAAGTAAATTATAAAATATATATATATAATATAATATAATATATTATAAAATATATAATATAATATATATATATATATATATATATATATATATATATATATATATATATATTGTATTGATTTTTTACGATAGTGTCGTTTGACATACAAACGGCACATTGAATTGGAAAAATGACGGGATGAGGGTTAGCGAATGCAATCGCGCAAATGGTTAATCGAAATTTTGATGAAACTTTTACTCGTCGAAAAACGGATTAATAATATGGTCATATTTTTTGTGTTGGTTGTTTCAAGTCATGGTACGATTACAAACTGCGATGGGAGCCAAAGGAATATGGAGGAGTTCACATGTTACACGTGCCGTCCGACCATATATGGAGGCCCGACATAGTCCTCTACAATAAGTGAGTCTGCTTGCTCCTCTTCGTTCTATATTCTAATTACATCTCTTGTATAGTTTCACATTACATCTATACATATGGTAGTGGCATTGCATGTTGTCAACGAAGTTAACGGCGCGTGGACATTAATTTCTATAAAAATCAAATCAATGTTTCTAATACCATTGCCAAAGCGCTCTTTACGAAACTTATCATCTCATATTTGGTACTATCTCGGGATAAATTGAGATTAAAATAAATCGACGTAGAGAATTTATGTGACACTTAAATTGGATATAAGAAAGAAAACATATAGATATTGTCTTTGATCAAATTTATTTATTAGATCAACTAGTTTATTAGTTTAGGATTTGCTTTTCATTATAATTACAGTTTACATTTAAATAACAATTCATGTACCTACAACTGAAGTTCCCTTCGTAAACATATTTTCTAATCATTTATGTGCTGAACGTACATTTGTCATGCTTTCGTAAGTGTGATTTTTACGTATTGTTTATAATGTACGATGATGTTCAAGCAATTTCTCTTCATAAGAAATGAGTGTCCACTCGACTAAACGAGAGAGGTACCATCGTCGTGCATATTGCATTTCAAAGTAGAACAGTCTATTTGATGTCAAAGTGCATCTCATATCGCGACGTCGTTGCGAAAGTTACGGAAAAATGTGAGATGGTGTCGACACAGTGATTCGAAATTCAGCTTCCAAGTTTTCTAAATGGGGAATGAATTTTCCTATCGTTCATCGACGTTTTTTTATGATACTTTTATTTTAAGTACCGTGACGTTACCGTTTATTCATTTAATCTTTTAGTCAATTGAACAGTGAGACTTGTATCATTACGACGTACAGCTTATGTTGAGGATTTGAATATCTGCGGAACGAAGAATATACTTTATCGCGAATGATTTCGATATCCGTATTATTATGGATTACTGATAGTGCATAAATAGTGGAGTCATATGGTCTAAATAATGGAATAACACATTATTTATGGATTGAATATTTTACCGATCAATTAGGATGTGTGTTGTTCGAAATTCTATTTTAAAAACTGTTTTAATCAAACAATTTTTAACGTAATAAATAAATTTAATTTAATCTCTAACAAAATCAAAATTTCAAAAGTGTGAGATTAATATTTGTCTTTATAAATCTTATAGAATTTTGTTCTTGCATTTATATAAGTCATTTTGTTTAAGCAATTGAAGATTATCCTAAAGCGATAATTTGGAGGCTTCGGTTTTATTTTAATAGTCGTAATTATAGTAATTGAGAGTCGTTGCACGGATTATCGCATCGAATGGCTCGTATCGATCATTATTTTCCCATTAGCCCGATATTTATGTAGGTCGAGAACATCTCCATTATGCAGTTATCACCCCTATCTGTGCACTGCCATCTGGGAAATACGGATATCGTATACAGGTTGATTCGCCTAATCTAACCTCGAATTACTTGGAAAATACTGACTATATACACATAATTTTATCGAACTTCTACCATAAATCATTTTGTACATTTCTATATTTTTAAGTTAAATTAAGTTAGAAAAAGGTTAATTAAAACGTGGTATTAAAAAATTACCATATCTTTTCTGACATTTGGTCTTTTTTCTATATCTGAAGTAATTAACGCAGTATATACATAAATTAAGAGTAAGATTAGTATTTCGAACAATATTAGTATATTGTGTAAAATAAATTCGAAACCTGTATCAGAAATTGATTTCTAATCTAGAAAGAACATATTCAATCACATGTGCATACTAATTTTGCATATTAAACTGCACTGTGAATTCAATGCATTTATGGCAAAATTGAATAGGTGTAATTTATACATAAAATTGTAAATAAATTAAAGGAATTTATTATCTTTAATACATTAAATCGATTAAAGAAAGAAAGAAACTTGCTATTTAGTTTCTATGCCTTGCAATTGATGCAGACTAGTGATGCAGGCTGGTGATAACTATTTTACAGTCTCGTACCTGTTGAGTTTAGTCACCGTTTCTTTTTTTGGTATTTCCGATGGTGCAATTAAGAAATGCCGCAGACAAAATTTTACCAGTACTCGTTCGACTATAAGTTGGCATACGTGGCAATAATATTGGCATTGAGGAAATTCGAGAAACGATTCGAGATCAATTTGTCTGAATCAACCTGTACGGCCTTCGCATAATAGATTTAAATTTGTATGATTTAGCGGACAAATATTTGTAGCAAATATCGAAAAAAATCAAGGAGGGGGGCGGAAATAAACTCAGATTGGGCTGCGAGCACAGCCCTAGTTTCAGCTTTCACAAATTTCTTCCACCCTCCGCACATATTTGCGTAACTTTTGGCCCATTCGCCGACGAAAACGAGCGAGAGCCAATAAAAAGTCATTCCTGGCTCGTGTTCAGTGAAGGCTGGCTGTTGATGTAGTCACCGGATAGATTATTATTCATATCGCATGAAACATGGGCGCTGCGGCGAATGTTCGTGTGAATGATTCTTGACGAACGAGTTGAGGCCACGGGTGAAATGAGTTTTCACGGTCAATCTCGAATTCTACGATCCTTTGGAGCAGCGACTACCGACGTCACCGCTGAAAACACGAAACGTCCACCTAGATTTTAGAGAAATTGTGTTTCCGTCGGGAGCGAGATCATAGTAAATAGGTTCCCGCGTTAATCTGCAATTCGTTCGCATGCTCCGACCACCCGCGAACAACTATTGAAGTCTGGAATCTTCTGTGTTCGAATTTCTACCTTATGAAATTTAGGCGGGTTCTTATTTCAACCAAAGTTTGCTTTACCCTTCGGCTGCATACGACGAGGATACTCGTTATGAAGAGACGGTAACCCTTTGCGTTGCAAATACGCTGATCTTGAAATTTCAATTAGAATTTTTGCCGAACTTATACCCGTTCCTGAATTTACGCGGCACTTTTCTATGTGATTTTCCTTTTTACGCGATAAATAGCACTGTTTACGCGGTATTTTTTGTACACGATCTGAATTTATTTATTACACCGTCAGTAAATCTTTTTAAAGCTGTTGAATGAGCTAAAAAAATGGCAAATTCAATTACAGACATCGATCAAAAAATTCAATGAGCCTTTAAATCTCGACAACATTTTATGAAATATCAACAAATGAAGACTTAATTAAAGGAAATATTGAATACATTAACAATGAAAATGAAGTCGTACTTCCAAATATTTTAGGCAATGGAACTGATGAGTTTGTGCCAATTAAAAAGAAAAGGTTGATTGTTTTAAATTACAGTAGCGATAGTGACACTAAATAAAATTTACTTTTGTTTTTTCTAAAATGTTAGATCTTTTCTTCTTTAATTACAGACCCTAATTACACGATTTTCTCATTCTCGTCTGTGTATATAAAGATTTATTATAGCAATTCAATTACTTCTTCAATGACAAATTCTAAAATATTTATTCCTATATTCTGCATTCTATTGTTATTCCATGTCTACGGTATGCGACGAAGGCTTTGCTTTCATTCAGATCTATATATTTATATGAAACACAGGATTTTTTGCGGTGATAGCAATGAAGAATAAATATAAAGCAAAATGGTTTGTGTTTAAAATTAACAAAAATTGAACCCAAATAAACATGATGATTTCCCAAATTCAAATTCAACCTAATTCAACCATAATTCAAATTAAATTTTATAATTTGATTTTCATTATATCTTTTATTTCATTAATCTGAATTTTGTTTGTTTGTTTATATTTCTCAACCTTTCAAAATTGGTTGACACCCTCTACTAGCAGTTACTTTATATGAATATACTAATGACTTAATCATAACTGATTGGGTGGTGCGCAGGAAAAAAACTTAAGAACTATAGATTTAGGATAAGAAATGAGACCATAACTATGCTATTTTGGTTCACATCATAGCTAGACTTATACTACTACTACTACTTATACTACTTATACTTCTTAAAAAGATTCATTTTTTTGTTTTAGTCAGCAAAAATTCCGAGGTTATGTCAACAACCAACACAATCTTTTTATAACACTCAATAATACAGATGATAACTCACGTAACTTTAATTGTTGAAAAAGTTATTACAAATTTTTTGAAAACTTGCATTCAAACTCAAAATACTTGTTTAAATTCTACGCGTTCCAATATGATGAGTGATAATTTTACGGACTAACAGTTACCATTCTCCACGATTTCAGGATATTTTTATATTGCACTACACTGTGTATATTCCGTTTGAATCACATTTATCATAAGAATAATGTATACTTTACGAAACGTTGCTTAATGCAGCTGAATCTCGAAATAACTTTATTTGGTGTAAAAGATATTGGAAAAGAAGGTTGAATGAGAAAGAGTCACATATATATATATATAATAAATCTTTTGGTATATAAAAATTTTACACTCCGAATTCATCCTTTAGCAGATCATATTCACCTTTTTTCATATCAAATTCTTTCCTTTCAGGTTCTATTCATTTTCTGCAAATCAGATTCGTCTTCTTGGAGATCATATTCACTATTTTTTAAATTACATACTGCCTTTTGCAAATTACATTCGTTTTGTGGATTTTGCGAGAGTAAAGCAATATAGATGTACGTTTCTAGGATGTTCTTAAAAATGATTATAAATCATGCTATGTTCACTATTAAATAAATATTTTCAATTAACTGTTAGAACAACAAATGCTACTGTAACTAATACGTCCAGAACAACAAATTTACATTGAATATGATTTTGATTAGAATACTTTAAGAAAACAATATGAAGAAACTTGATTCACAAATGGGTGAATTTGATCTGTGAAAGGGTCAATCTGATTAATAAAAGGGTGAACTCGATTCAAAAGAAAACGATGAATTTAACATGGAAAGAAATGAATTTGATTTTCACAAGGGTAAATGTTCACGAAAGGATGAACTTGATTTGAAAGAAAGCGCGAATTTGATTTACAAACAGGTAAATTTGTTTTCGAAGAACACATTGATTTGGAAAAAGATTAATTTAATTCGAAAGAAAAACGTAAACACAATATATAAAATCACAATATGATATTGAATAGCGGATTACTCTTGATGGTACAGCTAATCCTCGATGAAATTCTTTCGCGTCTCTGTCCTCATAAATTTTTTCATACAATATGTAAGAATAAACTTTCATCTTCTCGGTATCATATTTCTCTCTCGTGATCGAGGTACAGCCACCCGGTTGCTCCACTTAAACCCCTCTGGCAACAGATTCCCCGTCTCTCCGCTAACTTGATTTCTCGCGGTTCCATTAGTCTCCTTCTTGCTTCTCTTTTTACTTCCGACGTTTTCGTTCCTTATTTCTGACTTCCCCTCTATTTGTCTCTGTTCTGCTCACTTGAGCGTGGCTCGTTTATCCAGTTTCCCTCATTTTTTCTTCCTGGCTTGTGACTTGTTCGTTCCTCTCAAAGGCAGCGATTTATCGCGCTCCATCGATTGATATCGATTTAAGAAACGAATGGGAACGCGGAAAGTGAAATCGACGTCTGGAACGACCGTTATGAGCTCAGACTTGTTCGCTGATGGAAAGGGGAGAGAAAGATGGCACCACGCGCGTTAAGAGTTTTGTGAAATGGTTTTCAATTAAACCGTAGGACTAAATAAACAGTAGGATTCGTAATTATTGATAAATATCTCAAAATCGTTCCGGATCCCCTTTATTCGTACACTTTTCATTCGACTGAAGTATCGTGAAACTATTCGACTATCGTTTACGCCGTAATTGTCACTCAAGTAGGTAGATAAATGTGACCATTTACTCCTACACACCATCGCATGGACATTAATAGAGGATCCTAGACAACGACTACAATAAATCTACAAGAAGATTCACAAGATTCTGACCACGTTTTTGAGATTTGGGATCACAGCGAGACATAGCCAACTTATTAACTCTTTGCAATCAAAGCTATTATAACTATGAAACCAAAACAATTTTTACAGATCTGTCTAACGTAATTTTCATACTTACAATATATTTCCAATTTATAAGATATTATTGCATTTTACGTTAAATTCAGTTAAATTCTTGACTATTCTTCAAATATTACGGAATCTAGTAATATAAATATTATTTTAAAAAATGATTCTGTTAAAATGAAAATCAGAAAATCAGAAAATCAGAAAATCAGAAAATCAGAAAATCAGAAAATCAGAAAATCAGAAAATCAGAAAATCGGAAAATCGGAAAATCGGAAAATCGGAAAATCAGAAAATCAGACAATATCGTTGACTCGTGTAAAATGGGCAATTGCTATAATCATCGAGTTAATATTGAAATATCTAGAATACTTCAGCCTCGCGGTAATATTATCATCAAAATTCTCCGTGACCAGGATACAAAGGCTTCATTTCGCTTTAATTAAAATACTATGTGATATTTGGCATGGCCGCGTGAAAGTCGAAGAATTAAGAAAATTCCGAGGCGATTGAAGAGGAAGATACCGCAATCCTCGCAGTCAGTCTGTCCGGACTGGTTCCCCTATCAAAATCAATGTTCCGTTAAATGAAACGGCGCGCCTGAAAATCAGCAGTAAAGGCTGTTTGTATTATACACAGGAGACACAGCGAGACTATATCGTGCAGCCGAGCGTCTATCAGGGATGCTCCAAACGCGCCCTAAGCCCCCGTGTCATGTATTAACGTAATATAATGCGCCGCCATAACGTTACCCTGCGCACAAACGCGAGATTGCTGCCGCGATCGCTGCTACCGAGTTTTAGAACAGATTATAAACCTTAATCTACATAATTTTTTTCAAGATGAAATGGAAATGAGACTTTGTAATCTCGCCGGGTTTACGATTCTCCTATGCATTCATGCAGATGCACATGGTACACGACGTTCGAAGGGATACACAGAGTGCCTTTTAACTGGTATTACAACTCTAAACTGGATGAATAAACGTGGAACAACATATCGTATACTGGAACAAGTTCGTGCGGTTTTTTCATTAGTCTACAGGTTCTGCATTCTAAATTTATTTATTTGTTTAGTTAACTGTTTAGTATCAACGAGTCAAATGCTCTTTTAATTTGTTTACAAAAATTCAACATAGCAATAATAATATAATATTAATAATATTAATAACAATAAAATAAAAAAATAATAAAGCTGATAACGAAAATAATGTGATTAGGATATACGAAACAAATACAAATTAAATATCCTAACTTGTGATAATATTATATAACTGATATTTCAATTCATTAAAATTATTAATAATTATAATTATGATCCATCTTAGACATGAGAGATCCAGATTTAAACATAATAGAACGTAACATCTTATGCTGAACGCTCTCTAACTGCCGAATATGCTTATCTGATTCAGGTGACCATATTGCTGACACATATTCATATCTTTGCAAATTATATTCGTGTTCTTTCTTAAATCAAATTCACGCTTTTGCACTTGAATTTCATCACTTTGCAATTGATTTCCAACTTTTTGCATTTCAATTTCATCCTTTTGCAAATGATAGTTACAATGTTACAAATCAAAGATTAAATTCGCTCTTTTGCTAATCAAGTCCTCCAACTTTGGTTCCTTAAACTGTGACAATAAAAATGAAATCCGAAGTGAATTAGTTGATCTAAAATTCTCAATTTTATTGCACATAGATACTAACTTTCTTAACCAGTTAGCTGGTTTTGAAGTGTATACTGATCATAAAGAAATGGCGACGTGTTAAGAGTGAAAATTCTTAATTTATTATTTGACATTTTTAGTTATTAAAAGAATGAACACACATGTAACAGCCAAACTCCAACATCGATTTATTATAAAATAAAAATCTTTGTAAAAAAAACTATCGTTCTACAGTTTTTGTTTCGTGTAGGTTTGCTGCTTTTCAGATTACATCGATTCGAAACTCCTTAAATAACATGTTTTAAGCACACGGATGATATTTTCTGCTGTAGAATTATGAAGCATTTTCTCTATTTTTGACATGATAATAAACTGTGAATTTTTATGCAAAATAAATTTGTTTGCATTAATTGTAAGTTACAGAAACTATATGAGAAATTTATTTTGTTTCTTAAGAATTGTAAGATTGATAAGTTTCACAAGTTGATTAAGTGAAGGTCATGCAGTTAAAGGTGATATAATAATATTTTTTAATTCTTCAAATGTTCATTCTGTTTTGCGTTTGATTTATTCATTTTTGCTATAAGTGCATAAAATCCACAGTCTACTTATAAATGTTTCGCCTTATCAAACGGATTATTTGGCATCATGTTTTTGCTGAATATTTTTGAACAATCGAATAGTCTTTGTACATCATTTTCTGTCCAGATTCGACGTTACAACATTGTTGCAACGATTACTATTCACGTATTTTACGATAATAATTGACTTGAAACAAAAATATGTACCACCTGGGGGATATTACTTTGTGAATTACAGTATCGACTATCAAATTTATGCAATTTCTTATTAAAACAGTATAGGCGACGCTTTGAATGCGCAGGGGAAGATTACCGTGAGGCTTTTGTTAACTTTCAAGCTATCTACAGATTCCTTGCTTCTCTTCCGTCGACTTTCGACGCAAGATGACGATCTATAGGATTTGCTGTACATTTCGCTGTCGCTAAATCGATTTAAAGAGATGCGTGTCCACCATGTACCTCGAACGTCACTCTCAAGAAAGACAGACCTGCACGAAATAAAATAAATTAAATTTCAAACCATACTTTTATTTAATTTCTATACGCATTCTTTTAATATTATTTTATTCCACTTAATAATTCTTAAACCCACATAATCTGAAGTATACCTCAAATTATACAACGTATAATATACTTTATAGATATGGAAATACGATTTTATGTTCTTTTTTTACTTCATATAACAAAACATGTTGTTATATAACAATGATGAGGTAACAATTTAACGAATTACAAACAATTTTTACTACATTTTCTACTTAAATAAAGAAGTTTATTAGAAAATTTCTCAAGAAGATATTATTAGAATTTCTATAATTGTAAAAGTTGATCACAATTACAAGACNTACTTTATAGATATGGAAATACGATTTTATGTTCTTTTTTTACTTCATATAACAAAACATGTTGTTATATAACAATGATGAGGTAACAATTTAACGAATTACAAACAATTTTTACTACATTTTCTACTTAAATAAAGAAGTTTATTAGAAAATTTCTCAAGAAGATATTATTAGAATTTCTATAATTGTAAAAGTTGATCACAATTACAAGAC